ATCAATCAATCAATCAATCAAACCCTTTTTTTGTTTATTTGTTTTTAATTTTTGCATCTTCATTATTTTTGAACACCTAATTTCCCTACAAAAAAACGAAATTCATTTCTAAGAAAAATACAGCACAACCTAAGGGCCATATCCCTCATGATAAAAAATGACAAAAAAAAATCCTGCTTTTTTTTTTATCTTTAAAAAATATTTTGTTTAAATCGAATTTCGTTTTTTCTTTTTTTAAAATCTTAAACGAAGTCAAATTCCAAAGTAAAAAATATAGGATTGTGGGGGTTTTCAAGCCTAAAACCAATAAAAAAATTTATAATTTTTTTACGTATTTTTAGGGGTAAAACAAATTATTAAAAAAACAGGCCGCGGACTGGGCCTCACGACTTTTTCGGCCGCTGCGGCCGAATTGCTCGTGGCAGGTGTCACATAATGAGAGAGAGGAAAGAAGTGCCTATGATGCAATTTATAGACATGAGCATCACACAGAAAGGAGGGGAAGAAAAAACAGTTATACATTGGAGATCAAGGAGGTAGAGGAGCTCAGTTGACGGTTGATCGTAAAATTAAGGTGTGGAAAACGATGAGCAAGAATCAACATTCATTTACAACCATGACCAAGCTGAACACAACAAGTCCAAAATCCTATGCTAATTAAATTTCTGACTCAGAAAACAATATTCCAACTATATGCGGGGATTGCCAGGTGGCCGACAAGAATTCAAAAGCTGAATACCTGCACGTGCGGTTGTCGCGCCYGAAAGATTCTGCCAYGGACCACCAAGCGTGCGAAATTCGGAGCAAGCACAAAAAGACAAGTCATCATTTTTTCATTAGCGCTCACTAAGGCACGTCCTAACTGCCATACAACTTGGGCGATCATGCAATGTGAATTTCTTTTTTTGAAAAATAAAGGGGCCAACATAATTATCAGACCTGTAATCATACACAGTAAGTRGACCGTCACAACSAGGCGAAGAAAGTACGTCGTCTCCGCAGATTGTTGTGGACACAGAAAGTCGATCGTCACATCCTGGCCAAGAAAGGGAAACGGAAAAGTTGTAAAACCTCCCCCACGATACCTTTCTCGGTCTTTTGGCTAAGATCAAGTGTAGTATCTGTTCTGATCAGTTTAGGGCCTCGTTAGACATTCCTTGTGGACCCGAAATCCACAAGGAAGTGCTCGTTCCGCGTGTCCTTGGGGACGATTCATGAARAAAAAAGTGAAAACAACACAAGGAAATTTCCTTGTGGCTTACTTGTGGCTTCCTTGTGGCTACAACCAATTTTTCCTAATCCCCAAGGGACCTCCYGAGGTCCCTCGGAGCACAAGGAAGCGCGAAATTCGGAGCGGCGAAGGCRTGCGTCGACGCATATTTTCAGTTTGAGGGTGGTCCAGACATGGTCCACCGAACGAGAGCACGGACATCCCTGCCCTCCACCGTCTGGGTGGCACCCCAACGGCTCCAAACGGTCACCGTCCGCGTGAGGCCTCTGTCCGTCGAATCGCGCATCGCCGGCAGGTGTCATGCGGTCTGCTGCGCTGGGCGATCGTCGACAATAGTCGGAAATTTGAATGCTTGTACGCGCCGGCGCTGCGTTCGGCGACGACAGTTTTATTTTGGAAGGTCGTCGTTTTCGTCGGTTGTCGTCATGCCTTGCACGTCGGAGCACAGATCTTCCCTCGCTTTTTTTTTTTGTCGACGAAGTTCTTCGCCGGACGGTCGACCACTGACGTGGAGCTGCTGCCCTTWCCACGGCCCTTACGTGGCCGACCTTCTGCACAGGCTGCCTCTGCTACTCCTCGTCGTCGTGCTGCTTCTCATCGTTATCTTCTYCCACGTGTGTTYTATCGTCCTGCTCCCTGTCACGACTCGCACAAGGAAATTTTCCAAGAACGGCAACAGGATGGATCGACAACTGACCAATGGCAGACCGGCAGCTCCTTGTCCTGCTCCCTGTCCTGCACTTCATCCACCACCTCGGCGTCGCTCGAGGAATCACTCCGCAACCCAACRCGTAGCACAGCTGGCCAACAGCCTCCGAGGTCGCCACGTAGTCGGGGCCATCGTCTGGAGCTTGCATCAATGTCCTCCGTCTACGCGCGCGCAACTGCTCCTTCATTCGTGTCAGCGCCCTCTCCTGCTGACATCGAAGAACAACGGTAGACACGGTCGCCGCCACGGCCTGCAGCTCAAGAGGTRTCAACACGGCATGTCCACCTTYTCCGCCGCTCTCCATAGCCGCGACCTGGATGCGGACCCGTCGCTCCGCTGGCGTGTGTGTGGTCCTTCCACACCCAACGAAAAAGCCGAAGACGTCCGTCGAAMGCTGGCCCCTCTTCTCTGGATGCAGTCCCGCAGACGGAAATGTGTTTCAAGGCGCGGTCGACGTGTGCGAAGGTCGACGGCGATGGATGCACCCGACAATGCCTGCGCACTCGCAATGGCCGGGAGACGGAAGTGACGCCGCCGCTGAGCCTGTTTCAGCAGTACGCCGTCTCCACGCCGCCAGCCGCACGTCGTCGTCGTCGTCGCAGCCGTCAAATTCGAATTTCAAACGCCCTCCGGGTTATTGTTTTTTCCCGTCTCCCGCCTCATGCTGTTTCCCGCCACAGGTCGCTGGAGCACGCCGCCTCCACACTGACAAAAGACGGTGGACCAAGGACCACCGACCCCACGGCCACTAATTTCCGTATGAAAACGGCCGCGGGCATGCCACAAGGAAACATCCTCGGGGCAGGTCCCCAAGGATGAGTGGAACGACGCCTCAAATTTCCCTTAAGAGCCACAAGGAAATCCCACGAGGAATTTCCTTGTGGCTCAAGGAACTCGTAAGGAGTGTCTAACAGGGCCCTTGATATCTGATCCGTGGTCCATCGGACGACACGATATTAAATTAATTTTTCTTGGCCAGGAGGGGTCGTACGGGTAAGCTTGCTTACTCGACCCCTCAAGTGCTGCCTCTGTATTGCACTGCAGCAGAGTGCGGCGCAGCGCTTCCTCTCCACGGGGGAATAAACAACAAAAAAAA